GACACACACACACGCACACACTCATACATACGCATATATATATATATATATATATATATATATATATATATATATATATAAAATATATGTAAAGACAAAAGGAAAACTTATCTTAGCCGACACGTTTCGTCCCCTGCGGGAATTTATCAAGACAAATGCAAGACGAAAGCAAGCTTGCATTTGCCTTGATAAAGTATCACAGAGAAGAGAAACACGTCGGCTAAAAAAGGTTTTCTTTTGTCTTTATTCATATTGTGCTTTTTCATAATTTACTCTAATTGAATTTTCACACACACACACGCACACAGGCACAAACACACACACACAGGCACACGCACAAACACACACACATACTCACACACACAGACACATATATATATATATATATATATATATATATATATGAATAAAAAGCGACAAGAGGAGAAACTAAATTTTTCCTACTTTCTTTTTTACTGATTTTGCTCCTTTACAGACATACTCTATCTGAAAATATTTTACTCCCACACACACACACACACACACACACACACACACACACACATATATATATATATATATATATATATATATATATATATATATATATAATTATTTATTTCAGCGGATAAGTTTTATAAAAAATAAGCTATAATTTATTTCACCGGGTAAGTTTTTAATACCCGTCTCATCAGACCGAAATTACAAATGGTTTAAAGTTACAAAAATGTTTAAATTTAAATTTATCCAGAATATTTTAAAAATAAACAAAATAACATGAAGTATAGACGCTTGACCTTGAACATCTATTTTCTGGGGACTTATAATATTGAAGACATGCATGGGGGAGGGGTAGTTTTCTTTCAACACGATATTCATGTGTGGGGGTGGTTGAGAGAATATTGTGACAGTTATTTACAAGCACACACACACACACACACACACACACACACATATATATATATATATTAATAAATTATAGGTATAGAGAGTTAGGTAAATCAATAGCTACCAAGGAAACTTAAGTCGCACCCCAAACATAGGTATATGTATATTTATTAATATATATTAATAAATTATACACACTATCTACTATATTTTGTAATTTTATTGCTATATAATCCTTTTTCTCTCTTAATCTCTCTCTCCCTCTCTCTCTCTCTATATATATATATATATGTGTGTGTGTGTGTGTGTGTGTGTGTGTGTGTGTATCATCATCATTATCATCATCCTCAGTTCATTCACTGCTGCAATCGTCGGTGGAGGGTTTCCTAAGGGCAGAAGTAACAGACAACCTCTTCCAGGATGATTTGTTGGCGGTGGCTCTCAGGATTTCCGTAATTGTCATATCCATCCACTCTTTGATGTGGTCTGACCAGCCTTTGGTTTGCCATCCGCACTTGCGTCCGACTTTACCAGTGCCTTCTATGATGGTTCAAGAAACTCAATCCTAGACAGGAAATATCACACACACACACACACACACACACGCACTATATATATATATATATATTGATTTATTTAAAATATGGTTTTTTTCGCTACACAGTTCTAACCATGTTACAAAATAAGTTACTCCAAAATTCGCTTGAGGATGAAATGGAACTAATGTCTTTAATTTAATTACAAAATTAAATTCGTAGCTTTTAGCTTCCATTTTTGAAACATGGTTAGAACTGTGTAGCGAAAAAACATATTTTAAATAAATCAATTTATAATATTAATGCTCTGTAAATTTACATTGAGCACTATTTTGTAAAAATAAAATATCTATAAGAACACCGGATTATATATCTTACTGTTCTTTCTTTCTTTTATATATATATATATATATATATATATATATATATATATATATATATATATATATATATGAAGAAATATAGTCTTAAGATGTGCTATATTTACGGGATAAAGTGTTCAATATCAGAGATATGTGTGTAAATGTAAAAGTGAACATAGAAGTCAACACTTAGAGTTATATATATATATATATATATATATATATATATATATATATATATATATATATATATAAGAATTATTTTTTGAAAAATATGATTCCATCGTTACATAATTCTCATGTTTCAAAAATAGAAGCTAAAAAAACATCTCGATTTCACCCTGAAGCGAATTTTGGATCAACCAATCTTGAAATTTACGGAACTTTATAAGCATATACATTCTTATTAGTTACTTTCGGAAAGTGGTTATGCTAAATTGTAGTTCAACACGACGTATTTATATACAAACAACCCTTTTAGAAAAAAAAATTAAGGTATACGAATTTAATGGCGTAACAATAATGCCAACAACTCCCTGTCGTTGAAACAGACCAGACGACATGCTTCAAACTGATCTCACCCTTCGCTTGAAAATAGACACCCCGACCCTACCCTAACATAACCTCTTTCCGAAAGTAACTAATATGTTGATACAATATGTTTACAATAATTGGTTTCGCCGTTTTAATGTATTTAATATTATAAATGTTTATGCTTATAAAGCCCCGTAAATTTCAAGATTAGTTATTCCAAAATTCGCAAGAGGATGAAATAGAGCTGGTTTTTTAGCTTTTATTTTTGAAACATGAGAACTCTTATGTAGCGATGTAATCATATTTTTAAAAAAAATAATTATAATATAAGCTCTATTTGTATATCGAGCACTGTTTTTTAAAAATAAAAACAAAATTACTGAAGACTTTTGGATTATTAGCCTAACGGCTCTTACCTATTTTCTAAATATTTGCGCACACACACACACACACACACACACACACACACACACACACACACACACACACACACACATATATATATATATATATATTTATATAATAGAATGAAAATGGATCCTTTTCTGTGCAGCAATGCTCTCGATTACCGTTACACATTACTAGACAATTTGAAACACTCCGCTTTCCAAAAAAACCGGCATATTGACAAAGGAATCTTGTCTACTACGCAGGCACCAGATTGGTTCTTGAAAATAACTAAAATAGTCAAAATACTTGAACTAAACGAAGCCTAAATATGAACCCCGGACTGTTTATCGACAATTTTCGTCTTCATACACCGCACCTTATTCGAAAATTGGATAAAAAAACAACAAAATACTATTTATTCTTTATATGACTACTTCTTTATAATTTGAATTACACTGCATTATTTAATAGATTTAAAGAGACTGATTAGCAGTAAAAAAAAAAATAATCTGGAAATCTGTTGGGACATTACTGAACCAATTAGTTAATGTCACTTTAATGGGAAAAACGCTTACAACAATAAAAATTCGTGAATTGCCACACATTACTTTATTCAAAAACGTTCTCACTTACAAGATTCAAAATAAAATTCTAGCATCACGACATTGCACGCTCCAAAAATGTTGTAACTGTTAAAAAGATTTCTTTCGGCCAGTATTACATATATTTTCGTCTCGGAATTTACCTGAAATTACCTGAAATTGAAAATTAACATCCATGCCTAAGAGTGATAAAAGCATTTATCGAAAGTACTTGCAAATGGACTGAACATTTACTCCATATTACATTTTTAAAAACAAAGATCGCGTCATTCAACAAGCGGTTAGTAAGTTAATGCTTTACTTAATGTGTTAGCGAAGTGATTTTGCCATTAATTACATTAACTTTACTGATCATTTCTTTGTATGACTACTTTTTATAATATATATATATATATATATATATATATATATATATATATATATATATATATATTATATATATATATATATAGTTTATGAAAAACTAGGTAATCCGTATGGGTAAACCTAAGGAGGATAAAATCTAGAGAGCTCAATGTAAATCCAGAGCAAATAATTTAAATAAAACAGACCAGTTTAAGGTCAATTTTTTTTTTGTTTGGAAGTAAAGTCTGATGATCCTCAGTCCTTTTAAAAGGGCTGTGGTGAAATAATTTATTACATGGGACCTTAAAGCGGTCTGTTTTTATTTAAATTATATATATATATATATATATATATGTGTGTGTGTGTGTGTGAAAATATATAAAAAATAGGAAAGAACTCGTTAGGTAAACAATCCGATGTTCTTTAGTATTTTTGTTTTATTTTTAAAAAACAGGGCTCGATACAAAAGTAAAACCTAAATATAATGATTTATTTAAAAATATGATTCCTTCGCTACATAAGAGTTCTCATGTTTCATAACAAGAGCCGAAAAATTCAATATAATTGTTAGAATTAAAGTACCAAGCTCTGTTCCATCATAAAACTAAATATTTGGAATTCCACGCGCCATGTCTGATGGAAGTCAGTTATCTCCTGTTAATTTCTCTCTGAAAGTTCTCCACTGCCTTAACCAGGTATTGAACTCACACTTTTTGGGTCCAGTCACTGGATCTAACCAACGCCTTTATCCAATGTGCCACGTGTCCTTGAAGACATTTGCGTATGAACTGCTGAGTATTTTTACCTAATGTCTTCATTAATCATTTTTACCAGTGCAAATATTGCAATTTTTGCTGTTATCTGTTTTTACCAGAGCTCATATTGCAATTTTTGTTGTTGCTATTGCTTTTCTCTGGCACTCCTTATTACTGGTTCCCATATTGTATTCATTTCCATGTTTGGTCAGCTCAGGATATTTTTGTGGCCTAGAATATGTGCTGATTCCTTAAGTTTACGAATTTTCCAATGATGTTCTTGTCTATGATCTCACAGAGTGCGGTGATCTCCCTTTTCCACCTCTTAATTCCTGGTGTTTCCAGGTCCACTTTGACCCGGAGTGGTAGCATCTGTTAGGGTCCCAGCTATGGGTAAATAGTTAATCTTCAAACTGAAGTCAAAAACACCTTGAAAGTGTGAAAATCGGTTTGAATATCAGAAATACTTTGTAAAAACCAGCAATACATTTTTGAAGAAAATAAATATTACCAGCAATAGTTTTTTTGCAAAAATAATGTTACCAATAATAAAAATCGTGACGGCATTGAGTTTGATATGCTGTAAAACAAACCAAACCAAATCAATACTGAAATAGATAGATAGATAGATAGATAGATAGATAGATAGATAGATAGATAAAAATATTACCAGCAATTAAAATCTTGTTGGCATTAGATAAACCATTGAGGTTGATATGCCGTAAAAGATACCAAACCAAATCAATATACACTGAAATAGATAGATAGATAGATAGATATTACCAGCAATAAAAATCTTGTCGGCATTAAATAAAGGATTGTGGTTGATATGCCGTAAAACAAAGCAAACCAAACCAAAATAACTTTATAACTTCGAATATACATTTCCCGAATCGTGACGCCCTAGGTAACGAAGATCTGTGTGTATTGAACCTCAGGCATTTGTGGCAAAGAATACGAGGGTAATATCAACCGTACCTTGAAAGAAAGGATGCAACATTATGAAAAGTCTCTTTTCTTTTAAACCAGTCATGTCTGATGATATATGGAATGAAAAGAGTTGCCTCTAACCCCAGTGGGATGGAGTCAAGACACAGGATAGCCGGTCTCTGGAGGTTAATGAGTCTGATCCGCAGTTGCATTGTCGTCAGCATACTGAAATTCTCGCACGCGGGTGGTAGTACTCTTTTTGAGAGAACGAAGACGAGATGAGGTTGAATCCGCCGTCGAATCTGTATCGGATGTCAGTGTAAGGGCTGCTGGGCGTTGGGTCTCGTTAATCATCGTTACGGGTTACAAGGATAAGAGTGTCTAAAGTTCAATGAAGTCAAGATAACAAGCAGAGAAAAATACTGCAGGATAAGATAGCTAAAAGAACCAGTGCCCATGTTAATCACTGAAAACTTCAGCAGTGGACCTAGCATAGAGATACTTACCGATAGACTGTTTACGTGGCACATTAGTTAACTATTGTCAATGAGGGTTTACTGAGGTATGTTTAACGCCGCTGTGCTGTAAGTGAAGCTATGATTCTCCTTAGTTTAGATGGGAGAAGTCGCTCAGCACAGGAGATTCCAATATTGTAACAGAACCTTCTTCTTTGCACTAAAGAGGTTGGGTTGGTGTAATACCGATACCAGCGTGATAATGGTCGTGGTGGCTGGGTAAAAATCGATTTTTGTCCTTGGTTTATATGCATAAATGTATGGCGCTCCCCACGTTAAAACGACCTTGTGTCACATCCTGACTTTGTGGGGAGGCTGGGTAAATATACCTAACAGAGAGATGGACACTATCTAGGTGTCACTGATTAAGAAGGAAATGACACACGAAAATTTCAACACCTGGATATCGACATTAGATCTAAGTCAAATTAGATTAAATGATTGTACAATCTAGCCTAGCGGATACAGGTGTTGTTTAAAATATTTGTTTTTTTGACTATTGAGAGTCTAATATTTGGGTCGGGTAGTGTAGGAAAATAACGTAAGAAGTAAATAAAATTTTTAAAAAAATCAGAAATAGCGGATACAGGATATAACATTTCCATTAAAATCAAAAGAATCTACATCTATGCACGATTTCAATGGTGGTTATGTGATTAAGATACTGATGGAAACGGTTGAATCGTTGTGATGTAACAATCAATTTGAGTATCTAAACAGAATGAAGAGTAATATAATAATTAAGCATCAACCCAGAAATAAAAAGTTTCCTCAACCTAGCAGACGTTTAAGCGCCATTTGAAAGTGCCCTGAAATAGCGTCTTCCAGAAAGTACAGTACTGTTCGATAAAAGTGACTCACCTTATCCTTTCAATTTAGCTCTACTTTCGTTTCATCGGAGAAGAGAACATTCTTCCAGTCTTCTACGGTGAAATCTTTGTAATAGTGAGACCATTCAAGTCTCTTGGCTTTATTGCCTTTGCTTATTCGCGGCTTAAACCTACGTGTACAAGATTTGTAGCCTTGTTCTAACAGCCACCAACGGACTTTTGAAGAGGCAAGACTAACACCTTGCTCTTCGCTTAGACTGGCGGCAATTTCTTGTCTAGTTATAGTCTTATTCTTCGCAACTTCTTTCTTGATTACTCTGCCAGTTCTATCATCAATCTTTTTCTTTCGTCCCATTGTTTCCTTCCTTCGAGCAGGAGTGGCATCATTATGTGGCCTAAGCACTCGAGAGACAGTTGATTGCAAGGTTATAGCAATTTCTGCAATTTCTTTCGTAGAGTTACCTGCTTTTGAGAGGGCAATAATATCATGCCTTAAGTGGTTCTGATGTGTGTTTGTACCCTTTCATCTGGTTAGTGACTTAAGTCGCTATTTCAAGCTGTTTTTATACTGTATGAGGCTTTCTGGAATATTCTGGAATACTCTAGATTTAATTTAAACTTTTCTAGAATTCTCTGGAATATTGTTCTGGGTGTATTGTAAAATAGTTTTCAATATTTTGTCAAAAGCTCTTTAAATTTACCAGTTTAATCATTAGAATGCGATATCTGAGTCTGAGTTTTTTCCTAAATCTCAATTATATCCAAATTTATAATTATCAATAGAATACCTTAGGGTGACTAAACTCTTTTCGTAGGTGGTCTGGAAAGGGGTCGTTATATTAGTAAGATTAAAAATTATTTTAACCCCCAAAGCAATAGACAAAAAAATATTTACTTTTATCCCTTTTTTGATCCCTGTAAGTATAGCGTTGCAGATCAAACCTACACCAGGTTCGATCTCAGTGTGCAGCTTCTTACAGTCCATCGCTTGTGGGTTAAAAAGTAACTTTTTGGTCAGATCGTCACCCACAAAATAGAACCATGAGAATACTTTTTTAGTCTTAGGCAAATTTTATTCTGCTTATGACCTATTCTAGATGAACGGGGCAGATTTGAAGAAAGGTGAGTGGAGAGAAGAATAGTCTAACGGGCGCCTTCCCATACGCATTTCTGCGGGACAGTTTTCTCTCCCACTCTCTGCTTTTATATCTGTCTCTCTGTGTTTTTCCCTGATAGTAACCACTGTCTTATAGAGACATTGTTTTTTGTCTTGTCATCTTCGTCTAAAAACGTAATCTATCAATGTCTGAGTTCATTTAGTAACCCTCCCTGCCAGGGCCACTTGACATGGTCCTTGTGATTCAGCTTCACTCAGTTGATAATCACCAGAAAAATAAATGCCTGGTGTAATTTTTGTGACAGATGTTTCTATTTAACAAGATATCAACTCACACTGATATCGCTACATAAAGCGATAAAATGAACAGTACGGAAAATGAAACCAGAAAACGGAATCCAGCAGTTAATCTGAATCTATTCTGTTTACTTTCACGATGATGCCCTTGGAATTTTTCAACTCTTCTCTGTGCCCCGGCCATGGATTAAATGGTAGAGTAGACTGTCCAATATGTTAGTAACGAATTGGATCTGTAAATATCCACCAAATGCAGAAATTTAACTACATAGCAACCTCAGTTCTCGAACGTCTCACATGTCGAAGAAATCGTTTTTCGAACAGAATATTCGAGATGAAAATGCCTCGGTTATCGAATAAAATTTCGGTTCTCCAACAACATTGCCGAACCGATTTAATCCGAACGGAATCATTTCTGAGTCGACCGCCATGTTGTATACATTTGTGTGTTGTGCTGTGCTTTTCTTTTCCAATTTTATAGTACTCTGCCTTTTTTCTCTTTATTAGTCCTCAGTCATGGCTCCAAAGAAAGCTAGCAGTGATACTGGTAAAGGAAAAAGAAAAGTTCAGAGAAAAACTATTGTTGATGATATTGTCTCTTCCGACTCAGTTTCATATGGCAAAATCAATGATCTATACTATTCTTATGAATAAAGATTCGGCCATGTCTTTCCTTTTCCTTTCCAAACAATAACATCTCTTTTCCCCCCTTTCCACTTACGCCATCAACTCTCCTACATACAAGTATGGTAAAATTCAAATGTTTTTCTATATTTTATCTGTTTAGTATTGGGGTTATTGTTTCTTAGATTTCATGATTTTTATTAGTTTTGTGTATAAACTCGTGCACAAAGTACACAGTTTAAATAAGCAATCATCTTGGGACCAGGAAGGGATTAATCCATTTTACATTGATTCCTATTGAAAAAAATAGTTTAGGTTTACGAACATTTCGGGTTACGAACGGGATTCAGGGACGAATTAAATTCTTGAACCGAGATTCCACTGTATCTGAAACTTGAAATAACAAACGATGGAAAATATGACACAAAAATCCGAAAACCCATTGGATTAGTAAACGATATCTTCTAGATTCTAAGCAAAGGACATTTTTGTTAAAAACAAAAAAAAAAAAATGATTATTGAACTGCTACATAATATCAATCTATTTATATAGCAGTGAATTCTAGAAAATATTCTCACTGATGAAGACAGGTCTTGAAGCAAAATAGTGATGGTTCTACAGAGGATACTGAGAATGCTACGAACGCTATATGTTTTTAAGGGAAAATGGAAATATTAACGTCACTTATACACAGAATTAGAAAGAGAGACTTGGAATTTCTAGCATGGATAATGAGGAAAGAGAGATTGGAAAATTTGATACTCACAAGAGAGAGAGAGAGAGAGAGAGAAAGAAACATTGATTAACATATATAACGAGTATGTGTAAATGATTGCAGAAAAGGGACTATGGGGTTAGTAAGGGAGTAAAATATGCCCCCCCCCAAAAAAAAGAAGTTGTGGAGAATCATGATCATCTACGCCCTGAAGGGACATGTCGCATAAAAGGACATCTTTTCAATAATACTGTCATCTTGATGATTCCAAAATTTCCCCTAATTACCGCTTCCTTCAGTTATTTTGCTACGTATTTCGAGACAAATCCAAGTACTCAGATAACAACTGACACACACACACACACACACACATATATATATATATATATATACATATATACATATATATATATATATATAATTATAGATAACTAGATTCGTTTCGAAAAGCCCTCGAATTTTTGATTTGCTAATGATCAAATCAATCTCGAGGAAAAAAAGGTTTTAAAAAAAGAAAGAGCTACAAACATGAACTTCTGCCGACAAAAAAAATCGCACAGATGCAGGTCTGAAGCCCAAAGAAAAAACCCCGATACGAGTAAACAACTAACAAGCAAAAGAGCTCAATACAACCGTAGAGCAGACCTAGATACACCTAGTGAGCCAGACAAACCTACCTAGGTTTCACCTAAACGGATCGTCAGGGAAAGTAAGGCTAACGAGGCAAAGAGAAACGCATATTTATAGGCGATAGCTAAAATCATACCACGTGACCAAAGAACCGCAAACACAAACTTAAGTTTAAATATTTATTCAACAAAAAAACAAAAAAAAAACAAAAACAAAACAAAGAAACATCAAGGTGGAATGACAATAAAACGTTGAAAACGTCTAATCTAGTAGCCAAGATTTTTATGTCTACATACATTCTACATTCCTTAACGTATGTAGACATAAAAATCTTGGCTACTAGATTAGACGTTTTCCTGTTTATTGTCATTCCACCTTGATGTTTCTTTTTTTTTTCCCTCCCCATTTTGTTGAATATATATATATATATATATATATATATATATATATATATATTTGATATATATATATATATATATATTTGATATATATATATATATATATATATATATATATATATATCAAATATGTGGTGCCGTTCAATTTATATTACAATGAATCATTCATACAAAAAGTAGATTAGTAAAGTTAATGATATAAAATGAATAAAGTTAATGATATAAAATGGCGAAATCCTTTCGAAAACAAAATTTTAAAGTTGCTACAAATCACTCGATGTATGTTATGATCCTTGTTTTTAAAAATTAAAAGCTGTATATGGTCTTTTTTTTAATACGCAAGTACTTTCAACTGTACATTCAGTCATCCTCAGGCATGGAATTTATTTTGTTTTTAGTAAAATCCAGGTAGCATCCAAGACGAACAAATTAAATGCAAATCAAAATATGTTTTTTTTAAATGTGTTATTGTTAACGGATCAAAACTTTTGGAGCGTGCAGTCGCAACGCTAAGGTTAAAATTTTGAAAATTTAAGAGAGTGCGTTTTTTTACTAATATGGTAATTTGAGAATTTTTTCTTGTAGGAGTTTATCAGTCAGTGTAGCATGAACTAAATTGTTCAATAAATAGAATAATGTCTATCCCGAATATTTGCACATCGGATCAGTTCTTTTAAATCAAATATGTGGTGCAGTTCAATTTATATTACAATGCTACGTGGATCTGTATGTGTGTGTGTGCACGCGTGTGTGTGTAAAGTTTTCAATATCAGTAATAGAGGGTTTGTAAATATAAAAGTGAATATTGGCTATTGTGTTGAAACCTGAAACAGACTGTCGACGCTAGGTGTTGACCTTAAAATACACTTTATATACAATATATATATATATATATATATATATATATATATATATATATATATATTTAAATTAAATTGCTATTATTTTTACATTTATTATTTTGTTATTTTTATTATTCTTTTTTATTTTTCTTCTTTTATTTTCATTATGATTAATTTTATAATTTAATATCCGTATTCACTGTTATTATCATTATTATTATCATTATTATTATCATTATTGTTGTTGTTGTTATTTTCTATGTTTTAGTTCAATGGCTGTTATTTTAATTATTCTCTCTGTGTTTTGTTTCGCTTCTATATCCTTTATTGGAATTACATTTTTGGAGTCATTAATAGCGCTTTCTGCCTAGTTTTCTTTTTACGTTGGGTAATCTTTCTAACACCTCTCGGCCTAATAAGTTACACCAACTCTGTTCTTCTTTTTCTGCACGTAATAAAAATTATTGTTCTTCTTTTCGCTCCTGGTCTAGCAGCCATTATCACTGCTCTGAAACCAGAGCATGCGCAAACGAATTTTCGCGCGAACTAATTCTAAGATATGCTTTCATATGGTTAATGAGTATTGCGTATTGAAAGCGTGAAAAGGAAGCCCAGTGTGTCGCCCGAACGTACGGCTATAGTCATTATTACCATCGTATATGCGGTAAATAAGGTCTAAATTAGACGAAAGAGTTTTATTCTGATTAGATAGAGGTCTTGGAAATGGAAGAATACGAGAGAGAAAGGAAGAAGAGGAGGGGGTAGATGAAGGAGAAGAAAAAGAGAAAAATATAGAAGATGAGAAGAAGAAGAAGAAGAAGAAGAAGTGATAAATTTGTTTTTTTTTACCTCCTATAAACCTTTTGCAGCTTTTTTAAAGCGGGAAAATATTTTTAGATTCTAAAAAATGGGGAAATAATAATCATTTACTGATACGATTTCTACTAATTAACCCATATCTACGGGGAGAAAAGGTGGATTCATATCTTTCCCAAAGTTATTTGCGCGTAAGTAAATATTTACGAACCCGATTGGAATTGGAACTCCACTCTCCGATTTCTAATTCCAAGGCGTTACACCACCCGCACATCCATGCTTACAGCCACTGGTATTCCCAAGCGACCACCTATCAGACTCGACGTTTAATTTCGGTGATCATACGAGAACCCGTGTTTAAATGTTATATAGGAAGTGGAGGAGAAGGAAGAAGTATGAGGTGGAGATGTAGTAAACAGATGAAGAGGAGGAGGAGTTAGAGGAAGAAGAAAGAGAAGAGGAGGAGGATGAAGAAGAAGAAAAGGAGGAGGAAGTAGAGGAAGAAGAAGGATAAGAAAAGGAGGAAGAAGAGGAAGGAGAAAAGAAAAAGAGAAGGAGGAGGAAGAAGAAGAAGAAAAGGCGGAGCAAGTATTTTTGGCGGAAAAGAAACATTTGCTTATAGCAAGAATTTCTTTATACGCTCAAATATTCGAAAAAATTTAAAGAATTTCATTATTGGCAGCAAATGTCTATGGATGTTGTCTTGAAGAGCAGCAGAGGACTTTTCTGTAATGGTTGGACTCACGTCGTTCTATGGATTCTAGGTAGCTTTCAGAAGCCACTCATTTCACGACATATTCTATAGTCAAGTCCTACAGCTATTCCCAACAAGTGTTAAAAAAAAACAACAACAAAAAAACTTTCTTAACACTTTCACAATTGCATTTATATAACATTTTACCTGGTTAGACTGGCCTATACTGGAAAAGAAAAATAGAAAATTGGCATTTACTAGAAATAAATGTCTATAAAGATACTGGCGGCAATTTCTGATATGGGTGTCGCCATTTTGGTTTGAATCGGATATCTGTAGTCCAGTTTAAGGCAAACGACAACCAAAACACACAATATAAAAAGTAAAACAGGTCGTATTGTAGGCTACTTTGTCCATACACCAGTTTGGAAATAGTACTAAACATTATTCTATAACGCCAACGTTAAGATTCATTTTTCTCTTTTTTTTTTTTTTGTAAACGTATATATATACGTCAAGGGCAGATTTTGATAGACGTATAAGTACAGCATCGAAAGAGTTGACTAAAAGATTATTAATTGAATCAAATGGCACCAAAAACAGAAAACACATCTCCAGTAATTTATGTTCTGTACTGACTAAGGTCATTGTTATTAAGGAAATTTTGGTCATAATATTAGGCAGAATTAATATCTCGAGGGATAGGCCGCCGGACGACACTGTATGGTAGGCATCGGTCCAGTAATTCAATTTATATATCTTGATCAGATACTTATATCGTTGTGGACAATTATTTAGGGTTGAAATTGAATTCAAACAGTCAAGAAGAATATTCGAGAATAAAAAGAAGTCCTGGTTTCAAACAAAGTAGCGATACCCAAATTGTATGGTCCAGAGAAGTGTCTTGTCTGTTTGAAATTAGTCTGCAAAAGATTTGCTAGGCTAATCTCTCAAAGCGTGCAGCTTTGTCATTTATCTACTAATCTAATGTCTTTCCACTAACCAGTCTATGTTTTTTTTCCACCAATCAGCATCTTGTTTTCACTTCCCAGTCTATGTTATTTTTCTAACAATCAACGTCTCGTTTTAACCACCAGGTCTATGTTATTTTTCTACCAATCAACGTCGTTTTCACTTCCCAGTCTATGTTATTTTTCCACCAATCAGAATCTTGTTTTCCCTTCCAAGTCAATGTTATTTTTCTATCAATCAGTGTCTTGTTTTCACTTCCCAGATTATCCTAAAATACATTTTAACGATATTCCTCATACACATCATGTTCGTTTAGCGATTTACGAGATCTGACCAAAACGTTTCGGGAAGGTACTATGAAAACAAAACTTCATCATATATCAATTCGCTATTTAATCTCCCTTGAAACAGTCCCTGCTGAAGTCACACACTTTATCCAACGTTGATAGAAGAATTCTTGAAACTCCTTCTTTTGGGATAGTGATCAACTGCCTCGTCCAATTCTCTTGGATTTCTTCGACGTCTTTCCAATAAAATTTGATTCCTGAAGAGAAAAAAAGTTGCAAGAATCGAGGTCTGGGGAATATGCTTGGTGTCTAATCTGAGAAATGTTCATTTTCGTCAAGAACTGCTGCGTCAATAACCCCTGATGGAATCTCTGTGATGTGGGGAGATGACCACACACTGCACACATTCATTCCAAGCGCTGCTAGAAACAAGGGAAGTGAGGGAGAACTTTATAGCTTAGTGTGCATGCGCGACAGTGTTTAAAGATAATCTGTACCAAGCGATTTTACTCTGCACGCTTTAGCTCTGTTACAATAGTAACAGTCTTGATACTTTTTGATCAAAATACTAATGTTATTTTGAGGCATATGGAGCATGTTGCTCAACTGCTTTCTCATGAGCCTGTACCTTATAATGCTCCATAAGTTTTCTATGGGGTTGAGGTCAGGAGATTGGGGCGGCCATGTCATAACACTCATCTGCTTCTCATCAAAGTATTCCTTCGTCAATTTTCAGGGAGCATTATCCTGCATAAAAATGAGCTTGGTGGGATCGATTTGCACCCTTGCAACAGAAGGGATCAGAAAGATTCTAATATTCTCTTGTACTGCTCGTTCCTGAGGGTCTTTTCAATAAGTTTTAAGAAACCAGTTCCATGAAAAGAAAAGCATTCCCAGGACATTATACTGAACGGATGCTTGACAGTACTTACTGCTAAATTCAAAGAGCTTTCAAAGCTACTTCGGATTTTAGATCGCTTATCCTTTGAATTTAGCTCAACTTTCGTTTCATCGGAGAAGAGAACATTTAGTAAAAAAATCAGGTGAGTCACTTTTATCAAACAGCACTGTAATTATAACCATGGAATATTAGTGATTCAGCCTTTTATATATATATATATATATATATATATATATATATATATATTTAGTTTATGGAAAACTAGGTAATCCGTATGGGTAGACCCAAGGAGGATAAAATCCAGAGAGCTCAATGTAAATCCAGAGCAAATAATTTAAATAAAACAGACCACATTAAGGTTCAATGTAATAAAATTATTTCACCACAGCCCTTTTAAAGAACTCAGGATCATCAGACTTTATTTGCAAAGGTTGAAACGAAAAATCGTTTCAACCTTGGAAGTAAAATTGATGATCCACAGTCCTTTAAAAGGGCTGTGGTGAAATAATTTATTACAGGGAACCTTAAAGTGGTCTGTTTTTCATTTAATATGTATATATATATATATATATATATATATATATATATATATATATATATATATTGAACTAGACAGATAAATATATATAGAGATAGACAGATAGACAATGAAGAGAACGTGATATTTACATACATCGATAATCATTGGGATAGATAGATAGATAGGAACAGAACTGGGATAGATAGATAGATAGATAGATAGATAGATAGATAGATAGATAGATAGATAATGAATTGAACCAGACAGATAGATATATAGAGAGATAGACGGATAGATAAGGAAGAGAACGTGATACTTACATACATCGATAATGATTGAGATAGATAGATAGATAGATAGATAGATAGATAGATAGATAGATAGATAGATAGATCTGGATAAACGTTGACCTATTTGAAAAGATTAAATAAGCTTGTTTCAAGCAAATTTTAACAATTGCTTGAATGACTAAGATTTTCGTGCTTTCGCTTATTGACCCCTTGCACTAACCACTTGACCTAAACTGTTGTCCTCGATCAATCGACAATGTTTCTTATTGAATTCAGATTAATAGCTCCATGTTGACAAATTTGTCCAACTCACGATTATGTTAAACCTACGTAAAGCCGATCGATTCTTCAAGAGTCGATGCCATTGTTGTCTACTACTGATCTCCAGACCAAAATTGTTTCATTCTTTTACAAGGAAGGAAATGTACTTTCAGAGGTTGTAACATAAGAGGCGAATAGGGAGGCGCTGCTGTAGAATAATGGTTAGCATTCTCCTTCCGAATACTACATTTCAACTAATAGGCTGTTTCAATGCGTAAATATTGTACGTGTAAAATATTTGCCTTGTTAAAGATATGCTATTAATGGTCGCTAATCCAAATCTCCTTCGCAATTTTCAAAACAAGAGACTGGAGTTTTATCTACATATATAAAATGGATGTCTGTGTGTCTGTCGGTGTTATACCTTTTCACTCAACATCCATCCAACCGGTTTTGACCAAACTTGGCACATACATTGTGCTATGTAAGAGATAGGTTATTAGCGTTAAAAAAAATCGATAATTTTTTAAAAAATCAATAATCGATAATGCCAATCAAAAATCGATAAATTCAATTTCTTTCGAACTCATTATGTAGGTTACTGACATCATGACGAGTTTAACGATATCTCATTTTATTTCTACGCCACTGCGTTTAGCGAAAAAACGCGAAAAACGAAAAATCGATTTTAACACAAATTTTAAATTAAAATCTCCCTCAGTTTTCAAGCAATCTAATACAAACTACATTCAATTGTAGCCAACAAAGGTTGATTGCTTAACAGCCATTTAACTTGATAATTGAGTCCACCCATATAGTGAAAACCCGCGTAAATAGAGAAAATGGCGAATTTTACTGTTTTTTTTTCTTATTTTTCGTTAATCTTTCAACCAGTTTTCATCAAACTTAACAATTGTTTTATAAATGCATTTTCTCTCCAAAATAACTGTGGTTTGAAGTGGGTCTTCATGTTGCCTGTTTTACCCGTTCATGTCCTCGGCTAGGTTCAACTGAATAAATACAGACTCCTGTTATATACATAACTGCATTAATTCAAAATGTTTTTTTAATGAAAGTACTTTAAATTAATTGAAGAAGATAGACTCTGTTACATGTAAAAATGATGCTGTTTTTGCTTCATTCTAATTGAACGCTTTTTCTGGTCGACCAGCTCGGTATGGCTGCTAGTAATTATTAAAGATGAAAGTTTAGGACTAGCTGTAAAGCGACAGTAAACATTCCAAACCTGTATTGCTCAACAGTTCACGATCTAGGCCCCACGTTATATAACCGAATACTAGTGCACCTAGTGGACGTATTTAGGGCTTCACGTACTAGATATCTCTTCAATCTGGTTTTGAAGCCTTAGTCTTTTTTTCTTAAATAGATTGTAATACCATGACTAGAGAATCCAGTTTATTAATTACGGAGATGTTTTTCCTATACGTGACTGGCACCGCCACAAGGCAAGAGAACCTAGTCTAGCCTACTGTTTTATCCATAGGTGGGGGAAAATATATTTATGTCTTCTTTTGAGATAATTAAGGTTAAATGAAAAGCGAAGTAATTGTAAGGAAGCTGGAGACCCTACCAGGATTTATTACCAGTGGGCTCAATCTTGACAATATATGAAATTTTGATGACACTGTGTTAATGATAGTCACAGAAGGAAAACAGCAGAACTTCATAGAAAAGGCAGTAAAGGAAAGCGAGAAGAAAGGACTAACTGACATTTTTATGATCTGAGAAAACGTACATAGATTCTATTTTAGACATTTCTAGATGTCATAGACGAAATGCATGTCAGATTTCTAGATCTGAAGAGACCGTTTAAGAAATTTGAAAATCAACATTGCATGATTTTGAGATCTCTGCTTTTTAATTAGCATCTTGGACTCATTCTCTTGATGGCAATCATAAAACTGACTTTGAGTCGAAGATGCGAATTAGAAAAAAATATTATTCAGGGAAGAAGAGGAATTAAGGGGACAGAAAATAATGATTGACTTTGCATTTAAATTTTTGAAGTTGGCTGGAAAGCAAGATGGCGGGAGTCAAGAGAGCGAAAAACTGTTAGAATAATTTATTAAATTATATTTTGAATACACTTGGTTTAAATTCGTAATTTGAAGTGTTTGAAGAGCACACAGAGAAAACATAAAAATATAATACCCTGGCTAAGCTGAAATTTAAATTGCGAGAAACATGGCCACTGTCAGTTGCTTGTACAAGATCCTGATTTGAACAAATATCAAACACAATGTTTCGAAACTTCGGCTTGAAACCAGAAACAGTAGGATTAATGGAAGATTCTCCAGACCAAAACCTGCTAAGATTTTACAAGGCACATTTTAATGAATGGGACAGAATCCAAATTTCACTTTTCTAAAAAACAAAACAAAAAAAAAACTAAGAAACTATTGACCTGGGTGCTCTACAGTAGCCCCGAAAAGAAATATGATATGGCATAAAGGTTTAAGGAAGCAACAACATTGAAAGATATGACAATATTATAAGTTCCCCTCAGAGAAAGAGGCTTAAATAAAAACTACAAGCAGTGCCATGGGGTTATAATGTTTTAGTGCTGTCCCAAAGATACGCTCAAATAAAAAGAAAAAAACACGTCGATCAAATAATTTGTCAAACCTTAAAAATATACGCAATTAAAATGTGGCGATTGAACACGACAGATATTCGAATAATTATAGAAGCATTAACAATGTTTAAAAAGAATGCTTATACGCGGTATTTGGGTAAAATAATAAACTACCTCAAACAGCATAATAATAACATGTGAAGTAATAAAAATGGAACGTTTATTTTAAATATGAGTATCCACTATAATAACATTTAAAGTAATAAAAATGAAACGTTTATTTTAAACACGAGTATCCACTATAACATTTGAAGTAATAAAAACAGACCGTTTATTTTAAATACGAGTATACACTATAATAACGATTGAAGCAATAACAATGAACGTTTATTTTAAACACGGGTATCCACTATAGCATTTGAAGTAATAAAAATGGAACGTTTATTTTAAACACGAGTATCCACTATAACATTTGAAGTAATAAAAACAGAACGTTTATTTTAAATACGAGTATACACTATAATAACATTTGAAGCAATAAATTGGAAGGTTTATTTTTAACACGAGTATCCACTATAATAACATTTCAAGTAATAAAAACGGAATGTTTATTTTAAATACAATATAAAGTAATAAAGATGGAACGTTTATTTTAAACACGAGTATCTACTATAACATTTGAAGTGATAAAAACAGAACGTTTATTTTAAATACGAGTATCCACTATAATAACAATTGAAGCAATAACAATGAACGTTTATTTTAAACACGGGTATCCACTATAGCATTTGAAGTAATAAAAATGGAAAGTTTATTTTAAATACGAGTATCCACTATAAAATTTCAAGTAATAAAAAATATAGGATTTTAATTAAATCAATTGATTCTTTATTTCTTATTATTGGATACCTTTTGTGAAATATTTTGTTT